TCTCTGTTGTTTTTTACGATAGCTCATGATGTTTGGGAGGAATTGAAATCTCGATATGCTCTGTCTAGTGGTCCTAGGGTTTTTCATCTTGAGAAATCACTTAGTACTATAGATCAGGGTACTTTGTCTGTTACTTAGTACTACAACAATTTCAAATCTCTTTAGGATGAATATGTCACTTATCGCCCTATTTTCAAATGTGTTTGTGGTGCTTGTGCTGATTGTACATGTAAAATCTTTGAAGCTATGGCTACTGCTCAAAATCATGATTCTGTTATGAAGTTTCTGATAGGTGTGAATGAATCTTATTAATCTCTGAGGAGTCACTTCCTATTATCTAATCCTTTACCCTCACTTGCTACTGTATACTCTCTTCTCCTTCAAGAGGAAAGTCAGAGATCATTATCCAACACCACCAAATCTTCTGATTCACTTGTTATGCTAGCCAAAACAAACAAACCAGCATATTCCTTCTCAAACAACCCCCTACATACAAACCACCGAATTCTTTCACAAACAAACCTACTCATTCCACTGACAGACCCAAACCAAAATGCAGTCACTGTGGTTACTTTGGCCACATTGTTGATAGATGTTACCAAATCATTGGATATCCTTCTAATTGGGTTGGTCCTCATGGTCCTAGACCTTCTCCCAAACATTCTGCTCATGATGTTATCACTGATTCTACTTCTCCTGTTTCTGATAACACTAATGATGCATCTTCCATGACTGACCGTTTGTTTACTGAGTTTTTAGCCTTTAAGAATCATAAGAGTTGACACAAGGTACCTCTAACACTCCTGTGGTTGCCACTGCTTTTGCTGAGCCACTAGGTACATCTAAACCCTCTCTATGTATGATTGCTCAAACTTTATCAAAAACTACATGGATTCTTGATACTGGTGCTACTGATCACATGATCTGTGCTTCTAAATTTTTCACTTCACCTATTACATCTATATCTGTTAAAATCAAAATGCCTAATGGTAATCATGCTGTTGCATCTCAAATTGGACAAGTTCAACTAGCTGACTCTCTTATCTTACATGATGCATTATTTGTGCCATCTTTGCATTCAATCTTATATCTGTATCAAAAGATGGCTGCCACAAATAATTGCATTGTCAAATTCCTGTCATCCTCTTGCATATTACAGGATCTGTCAAACCAGACAGTGATTGGTTCTGCTGAGCTTAAAGATGGTCTATACCATCTCTCTTTACCTACTACTCATGCTTTACTAAACACTATTCATACTGATAAACATGTAACCACTCAATTACCTATAAACTCCAATTCCATTGTAACCTCTGATTCCTCTATTTGGCATTATAGGTTGGGACACTTATCTTACTCTAAACTTCAGACATTATCTCTTACATCTACTTGTAAACCTGCTCTTCCATGTGATGTGTGTCATTTCTCTAGACAGAAAAGATTGCGTTTCTCTGAAAGTACATCTATTTCTGAATGTCCATTTCATTTGATCCATTGTGATGTTTAGGGACCTTTCTCAATGCCATCTCATTCAGGACATAAATATTTTCTCACCATTGATGATAATTATAATAGACTTACCTGGATTTATCCTACTGTTTTAAAATCAGACATCAAACAACATCTCATACATTTTCACAACACGGTGTTAACTCAGTTTGATAAGAAAATCAAAATTATCAGAACAGATAATGGTTCTGAGTTCTTTCTTAAACAATTTTACACTGACTTTGGCATTTTACACCAAACATCTTGTGTTGAAACTCCTCAACAAAATGCCAGAGTAGAGAGGAAACACCAGCATCTTTTACAAGTAGCAAGAGCCATTTTATTTCATGCTCGTTTACCTTTAACATTCTGGATTGACTGTGTTCTTGTTGCTGCACACATAATAAATAGAATCCCCACCCCTGTTCTCAACCAGAAATCTCTTTTTGAAATGCTTTTTCAAAAACCTGCTACATATGATCATTTGAAAGTAAATGGTTGTTTATGTTATTCTTCAACTTTGGTTTCAAACAGAAACAAATTTGATCCCAGGGCTTCTAAGTGTATATTTCTTGGTTATCCCTTAGGTTGTAAAGGCTATAAACTTTACAACCTTGATACCAAGAAAACATTAATCTCCAAGAATGTTATTTTCTATGAAACAATATTTGCTTTCAAATCTCTCTCAGAAAATAACCCTCCTACCCATATGTTCCCACAACCTGATTCTTCCTTCCTCTTTGACAACAATATTGGTCCTCCACCAAACTATACCCCACCTGTTGATAACTCTCTTTCTACTTCACCTATTCATACTTCCCCTCAAACCACACCAATCTCTAACTCTCCTACTAATACTATTATTCCTCATTCTCCTACCAACACTCTTCAAACAACTCTTCCCCACACATATCTCCTGTTAGAAGAAGATCACAAAGAGTATTCAAAATCTCTGCATATCTAGATGTTTACAAACATTCCTTACACTCTCAGAATGCCTCTTGTTGCATAAATACTGTTTCTAACATTCCTGGGACAACCCCTTATCCCATTTCTGATTTTTTATCTACTATCCAACTATCTGATACTCATAGCTATTTTACTGCAATGATTTCCACTGTTTCTAAACCCAAAACTTATAAACAAGCTGCTAAAGATCCTCTTTGGCAAGAGGCTATGGCCAAAGAGTTGAAATCTTTAGAACAAGCAAACACATGGGTTCTTACTGATTTTCCAAAAGGAAAACACTGTAAATGGGTTTTCAAAGTTAAAAATAAATCAGATGGTAGCATTGAAAGATATCATACTAGGTTAGTTGCTAAGGGGTATACCCAAGAAGAAGGGATTGATTTTTTTGATACTTTTTCCCCTGTAGCAAAAATCACAACTGTGAGATTTCTGGTTGCATTGGCATCAATTAATAACTGGCATATTCATCAATTGGATGTCAATAATGCATTCTTACATGGTGATTTAAATGAAGAAGTTTACATGTCTATTCCCCATGGCTATTGTTCTGATTCTGAAACAAAGGTGTGCAAGTTAACCAAGAGTCTATATGGCTTAAAGCAAGCCTCTAGACAATGGTTTCACAAGCTTACCTCCTATTTAATTGCCTATGGTTTTTGTCAATCTATTGCTGATTGTTCCATGTTCTTTATGCATGATTCTGATACTTTCACTATTTTACTTGTCTATGTTGATGACATCATACTTGCTGGAAATAGTTTGTGCAAAATTACTGCTATTAAGTCCCATTTGGATAAATGCTTCACTATCAAGGACTTAGGCAAACTTAAATATATTCTTGGTATTGAATTTGCACATTCTGACAAAGGCATTCACACGTGTCAAAGAAAATATGCATTGGATATATTAACTGATTGTGGTTTACTAGCCTGCAAACCTTCTTCTACTCCAATGGATGCTTCTTTGAAACTTAGCAAAAATGACAATACACATGTTCTTGAAAACCCTTCTGAATACAAAAGACTTGTGGGTAAATTGAATTATCTGACCATAAGCAGACCTGATATTGCTTACTCTGTTCAATCTTTAAGTCAGTTTATGTCTAACCCCACTCAACAGCATCTTCAGTCAGCAAAAAGAGTGCTCAGGTATGTCAAAGGTACACTTGGCCAAGGTATACTCTTTCCTAAATCTTCTACTTTAAATATCACAATATATTCAAATAGTGATTGGGCCTCTTGCATTGACACAAGGAAAAGTGTAACTGGTTACTTGATTTTCCTTGGTGATTCTTTGATCTCTTGGAAGTCAAAGAAACAGTCTTCTATAAGTAGGTCTTCTGCTGAGGCAGAGTATAGAGCACTTGCCTATACAACTTGTGAAATCCAGTGGTTATTTTCATTGTGCAAAGAATTAAAGATTTCACTAACTACACCTGCCTCTCTGTTCACAGATAGTAAATCAGCCATTGTAATGGCCTCATATCCTGTATTTCATGAGAGATCAAAAGACATCGAGCTCGATTGTCACTTAATTCGAGAGAAGATAGCTCAACGCTTGATTCAACTTCACCATACTCCAACCACAGACCAGCTGACAGACTTCTTAACCAAACCTTTACCAGGCCCTCTGTTCCATACACTCCTCTCCTAGTTGAGCATGCCAAATATCCATGCTCCACTTGCGGGGGGTAATAGAATTATACAGTTGTACATTTATGTTTTATAGTATTGTACTTGTATTCTTTTCTTTGTAGTCCTTTTTATATGTAAAAGTGTTATTAGTATTTGACACTTCTAGTTACTTTATCATATGTATATAAAGGGTTTGCTAACCCTAAAACATAATGTAACTTTCATTTTTCTCCTTCAATTTCAATCGCCGCTTTCTCTTTCTCTCTCTATTCTTTCTCTCTTCTTCTTCTCTGAATCGGTAATCTGATAAAGTTCTCCTGTTTGTCGTTAGGATAAAAAAAGACGAGGAACAAATTTTTTATTTTCTAAAATACTTTTCTCCGCCATTCTTTAATTTAATTTTTTTCACAATTTGGAATCACTGTGCAATGATACCATTTTCCATAAATGTGAACCTCTTGCTATTCGATTTTGCAATTTTCTAAGGTGTCTAGTAACATGGTTGATGCATGCCATTCATTGCTAGAGAGAATACTCTGGTTACATACGTCAATTTTATAAGATATCTAGTAACATGGTTCATGCATTACATGTCAGAAAAGAAAAGGATAGATTTTACAAGAAAGCCAAACCAAATGAAAGGATACCCCTCAAACAATTTACCAACAGCAAACAAGTTACCAATATTAAAAAATAAAAAAAAAATAAAAACATCTTACAACATTAATATCCAAATTCAGTTAATAAAATCTTCTTCTACCCCCAATGACACTTGCATGTCTCCATAAATACGGTTACCAAAAAAAAAAAATAGTCCACCTACTTTGCCCACACCCACTCATACATTCAGTAAATTATTAAAAAAAAAAAAAAATTAGCAAACACCAATTCCTCTATAGCTCATCATCCCTACAGCGTCCGCACAAACTCCGGTGCATCCCCACGTGGGCCCACCAGCGTCCTGTACAAGTACATCTTCTCCACCTTTGCACCACCACCCTCCTCCCCATCGTGTGCCCCACATTCGTCGATGATCTCCACGTTGAGCCCCGGCATCCTCCCAGCCAGCTCCCTGCACGCCCCTAGCGTCACCTCACACGACGACATCCAAAGGGATCGCATTGTCTCGTATTTCCCCACGTCCGCCAGCAGCGCACCATCCCCAAACGGGCTGTCCCTAATCTCGAGCTTCCTCAACTTCCTACACCCACTGAGCACGTACATCATCCCCTTGTCGCTGTTCCCTGCAAACGCTACCGACAGCATCTCCAGATTCTTGGCGTGCTTCCCTATGTAAAAGAACACCCGGTCGGTCAGCAGACCCGAGACCGAGAGCCGCCTCAGTCCCCGGCACGTGCGAACGACTTCACCGAAGCCCTCATCTAGCGGGAGGCCGTTGGTAGCGTCTGGCACGGTTGGGTTGAGTGTGCAGAGACGGAAGCGGATGAAGTTCGGGCAGTTCTTGGCCACTGTAGTAAGGGCAGCGTTGGTCATCTGCTGGCAGAAGTAGAGTAGCGAGTTGAGCTTCGGGCAGCCGGATGAGATTGCGACCAGCCCTTCTTCAGTCACGCCGTATTCATACTGGTCGGATGGGAAAACTCTTAGCTCCTGAAGTTCTTTGCATGTGGACCCCACAATATCTAGCCCTTTGTCCCCGATCGTATCCAGAATCTGCCAGTTCCGCAACATTCATTTAGGGATAAAAAAAAAAAAGGAGACAAAATTGCATTTTTGGTCCTGCTGGCTCAACGTCATAACAGTTATAGTCTCAAGGTTCCAACATTTCGTTTCATAGTCCTGTGATTTAATATTCTGCTTCAATTTCAGTCTTCAAGGGACTGAAATTGAATCATATTCCCAAATTCTCAAGTTTTTGATTAGCAATTTCAATCCTATAATTAAAATTCCGTTGCAATTTCAGTCATGTAATTTAAATTTTTGTTGCAATTTCAGTCCGACTAAAATTGCAGCAAAATATTAAATCACACGACCAAAAGGCGATAAGTTGGAATCTTGGGACTAAAATTGATATGACGTAAAACTAACAGGACTAAAAATGCATTTTTGCCAAAAAAAGGAAAATGAAAAAAGTCCGAGCAACTAAAATGTTGGTGAAGATTTCAAACCCATAGGCGCTCTAAATTCTTGCAGTAGCAGACTAGTTTTATTAGCTCATTGCTGAATATTCCCAGCGCATAGCTCAAGTTCAGGGAAGTCAGGTCCATGCAGATTGGGTATATAGAAGGCAGGCAGCGAGGGTTGACATCCAGAAATCCGGAAAGGCTTCTGATGGATGCGTACTTCCGGAGGACATTTTGGAGCTTGTTGCAAACATCTGAATCGGGATCGTGAACGAAAGAACCCGTCCCTAAGTCGTTCAGCTGAGGTGCGTTCACTAGTATTCTCTGGAGAGCATCCAGTGGGACCATGTGGTTTAGCCTCAGGCTTCTGAGGTTAGGGCATCTCGACACCAGCCTCTCAAGGGCCGCCACATTGACTTCTCCCTTGAGGCATGCGAAATTCAATGAGACAAGAGAGGTGGAAGTCTCGGGGAAACAGCTGAGCCATAGGCCCTTGCGGTCATCTACTTCATTTTCCTGCAAGTCGAGCTCCCTGAGAAACCTGCATCATATGGTCAACCGTGAATAGGATAAGCTTGCATCCGAGAGGGGAAACTACAGAGCTTGTCCAATCAGTTAGGTCAACCGAATATGCTCTCCATGACAGACATAGAAAGGAAAAGCAGGAAACCATCCTAAACAACTTAATTAGTCCATTCATTTCCAAAGCACAATCTCATTCATTAACACCTAATCTCTAAGCAGTTAACAATAAACCGCAGCTTGGTAGTGAGACGCTTCACCTATGACCAATAGGTCATGAATTCGAGTCACCGAGAAAGTGGGAACACTATTGATCCTCTTTTTTTTTAAAAAAAAAAAAAAATCTCTAAGCAGTTAACAACAAACAAAGACTTCCACAACGTGATTAGGACACAAAATTCATTTCTGAGTCCACTCAGCACCTGCAACAACCAGTAGCCTTTGTGACAGGCAATAACATTTTGAAAGGATATGTTCATATAGAATAAGCAAAGAAACCCTAGATCAACTCCACAAAGATCTAAACCTACATACAAGAAGAAATCATCAAAGGGGGAAAAACATGCAATACCTGCAACTGGATACTATGGCAGCAAGACCATCGGTTGTGAACCCCTCACAGCTGACCAACACCAAAGACTTGAAATTGGGGAAAGACCTCGCAAGCAGCTCGAGGCTCTCGTCAGACACCACCATCCTCTTCAATCTCAGCTCCTCCAGATGTATTCCGCTCCTGGCCATGGCATCAATCCAGGGGTACACATAACCGCCCCAATCTTGGGGCACCAGATTGAAATCGGCAAAATGGGGTTTCCCCTTGAGGGTCAACGACCTGAGCCTAGGGAACCTCGCAATCAACCGCTTGGGGCTGATGGCATAGCAGTTGCCAATAAAGACCTTCTCCCTGCTGAACCTTTCCACACTGTACCACGACTTGCACACCAGGGAAACCGCATTTCGGTCCTCATGAGAAGTAAGGAAATCGAAGACGTGCTCCAATACTTCCTCAGGGAAGTAATTAATCATGCTCTGACACAGACGCATCGGATGCAGCTCCAGATTTAGGGTTTTTTTAAGTCAATTGGTTGTCAGTTTTATTCAATGGCTACCAAGAACTCCCAAAAAAAACTTTTTTTTTTTTTTCCTGAGATGGAGCAGATCTGAATGGATACGGAGCTAAAAACCGGAACTAGCAAATTCTATTCGACTTTTCCAGAGCAGATCTGAAGGAAAAATAGATGTAGGAAAGCAAACTTGAAGAATTTGAAGAAATGTTTCTAATCAAAGAAAAAATGAAGCCCTCGTACTGTTATCGGAGAACTAAACTCTTGAGCTCAGTTAGCAACATCATCATCATCATCCATGAAAACAGGAGGTGATGATGATAGAAAATGGGAAATAATCATGAGAGGAACACTCACACACAACGACAAAACTCAAAGTATAGTGAAATCTACAACATCAGATGAAGTACAAATACAGAGATCTGAAAGACAGACCAGAAATATCGGAGCTTTGGCGGATCAGAAACAAATAAATCACTCATTCACCGTAGATTCACCGTAGATTCACCGAAGATTCTTTCTGAATATGTGCTTCTCTGACTCTCTCTCTCTCTCTCTCTCTCTCCTCTCTCTCTCTCTCTCTGAATAGCCAAAGCTGATAGATTCACAGTCATCTCATCATCAGAGAAAGGAGATGGAGAATGGGAGGAGGTATCGGATTTTCCATGAGCAACTGACTAGACACAGTAGTTGAAGGTTGAACATGGTTGAGATAATAAGTATTGATCAGCGTTGGTAAAAATCGGACGGTGGGTGTGCTCTGGAGAAGGGAATCTTGACCGCTTGTTGGCATGCAAATGTCTATCTGTGGTTGATTTGTGTGGAGTGGGAGGATGTTGAATTAATTTGATGATGATAAGATTAGGGGGTGTCTATATGTACACCCCCTTGTGTGTAAAAAAGGGGTGTACATATAGCATTGCCCTTT